ATCTCTTCAATCTATCTGCATATCTATCTATCACTGGCTTTATTTACTGGGCTTATATACTAAACAAGAGGGCATCTGGCAAACACTCGTATATTCGTGGAGTTCCTCGATAAGTCATGATCCTTCTAGAAATTCCAGCGTGCATGCTACCAGCGTCGCGTGACTTCCACTGTCGTAACACAACATATTTTGTTAATGTTTGATACACATTTGCACTAACTGCACAAAGTTTCAACTAACTTCCGCACTATTAACAATTGCTAGAATTATTAATACTATTAACAATAAAATATGAAGATGGTTAAAATATAAATTAAAAGCACATTTACATTCAAAACTCAATTTTCAATAACTTAAAATGTAGAAACGGGATTCTCACAATGCACGAGTTTCACATGATTACCACATAATGGAAATTTGAATGTAGATCTAAAATAAACATATAGGTTTGAATTAGTGGTCTAATAGTATAAATTAAAGTTAATTCACTTAGATTACAGATACCACACAGCTACTCAAAACAAATTATCATGTAAAAAGGTTGGTCGGGTAATTTTTTAATGGTCAAATTGTCTGTAACGTGATCATGTTTTAAGCGTGATCTTAAGTCATGGACCATGACAATCACATTGTATTGAGGCATGGGTATGATGGTAGGCTCTCTAATTTAGCTCTCTTTGTCTGGCCTGGCATGAGAGCATTGTATGACGATCTTCAATCTCACTATTCATTGGTAAAAAGAGTTACCCAAGAATGGGCAATAGGTGCTGCAGGCCAGTTGCTTTTCCTCTGGTCAGCAGTTCAAAATTAGGGATGGTGGCAGATAGCCTTAGTTGTTTGGCTGTAAAGAAACTCCCTTTCTTTCTCAAGCTCTCAGTTTATTAAGTTTAAGTTCTTTCTTAATTTAAGCAGTAATATCCTCCTAAGTTTAATAATTCTTGTATACATGTACTTGTACATACAGGTACAAATCCATGACGTAGCTTTTCATGAAGAACCTAATCAACTAGGAGTATTGTTTGAGCTAAAAAATTCTACCCAACAACAGGTATGATACAGGTATTCATTATACATTTTGTGGTATTCCCAGGTAAAAGTAATTTCCCCCAAGAGTGATTAAAATAGGTCTGTAGAATAACAGTAAATTCAACCAAGCTATTTATTATTCTTAATTCTTCAATTTTTACAATGAAAACAATCTTTATTTAAAACTCAAAAACAATATTAAACAAGTGAGTGCTCAGAACAAGTAACTTTGTCATTACTAGGTAAATGACTCTCTTAATTCCTAAGAACTAATTAAGAGGCTTAGTAAGAATTAATTTACATTTTTAATGTACATTATAAGTTTAAACATAAAACAAACATCTCTTTTACACAGAATTTAGTAAGACCAAGACAGTATTGGAACAATCATCAAAAAAATATTCTATTGCATTTATATGCAAAGTATTTTTAAAATTATTTGTTACCATATAAATATCATGCATCAACTAATAGGGAACAGAGAAAAACTATTCACACACAGGTACATTCATTAAATAAGATTAAAAAACATTACAGAATTATAATTAATGGTGCAGAACTACTAATGATAGAACAAAAATAGAGAAGTTTAATTTAATTTAAAGTCATATAAATGTTTCACTAATAATAAAGAAAATAATTGAAAGACATTATGAATGAAGAAAAAAAAAAGATAGTCTATTACATGCAAAATTATTCCAGATCATAAGATATAAAGCTGATAATGTATTTCTGAAATGCAGAAAATGGTTTGCATCATTATGTACAGCTGATATAATGTTACAGTGGAACAGATTGTATCACACTAAACTTTCACATTAATTAGTGTTTTGTAAGAAGTAGGATGCTACCCAAAAAGATTGCTTTTGAGAAGGGTAAGTAACAGTTCTTTCTAATGCAAAATATTCATACACTCATATCATAAACATGTTTTCAGATTGAGAAATTAGAATTTCCAAGGTGGACGTTGTACTTAATTGCATTGAAAACAATGGAATATGATCTTAGGAAAACAGGACCATCTAGACAGAGACTTGCAACAAGTCATAACTTAACCATGATAAGTATAGTATCTTGTAATAGGTGAAAGACCACAAACACAAAGGACATGGCAAAAACCATCCATGTCAAATAGACAACAGTAAACAACATAATCAAGAAGGATCTCTGATTAAAAAAGTGACAGAATTGTTTCCATGACCTGTAAGTTCAAACATCACATACCTCAATTAGTTGAAAAATGAAATAAGTATTCATGCTGTTCCATATGAAGACATACCAGAAAATTGCTTGATGTGATCAGACACTTGAAACTATCATTCTTATACATTAGATGAATAATGGAAATTATGCAAAGAGGATTTGTGTGTTTTGAACATGACAGTCTTATGGTAGATCCTTTGTAACAGAAACTATGCAGTAGGTCTATTGTCAAGATGCATGGTTGTCAGGCAGAACATGATCAGACATGACAACATGAATTATAATGATGTGGTGAGGCTCAAAAATTATTTTAATATATCACAATAATATATATATATATATACTGATAATTGAACAATTAAAATATGTTTAAGTAGTAAATAGACTAAGTACCTTAGATATGTTTTCTGCACACTGATGTAGGATTATGGCTTTGTCTAATTATCACAAATCTTATGCAAGTGACTTTATTTTAATTACAAACATCACTCAATGTACGAAGCATTTATGTTATTAGATGTAAGAAATTCAACAATAACAGGTAATTAGTTTTTAAATTATAATAATTTATTGCTGGAAAATGTCTAGTAGAAAGTAACATTTCATATTTTATTAGTATATTAATAAGAAATGTACATTCTAAAAACTGAGATTATATAAAACATGTGTATAAAAATTTGAAACATATATACAAAGAGTTGTTCAAAGCCCATGATTAATATAAGTCCTATACCCTCTCTATATAATTCAGTTGAGATGTGGAGATTTATAAGTGCAGAAAGTGCCCAAAATTGAACCTCTTTTCAAAGCAAAGTTCTCCTACTTCATGATTATAAAGCAATTTTACAAATGGAAATATGTCATCACAATAGATAAAGTATATGTCCACTTAAATGTTTGATATGGGTCCAAGAATTAATTATCAAATTACTAATGATATAACAATTCACAAATGGAACAATACATGTTGAAAAATCTTTCCCACAGGATTTATTGTAGTTGCAGCTACAATTGTAAGTCAACCATCCATAGGGTCAACAAAAAATGCCAAGGTGAACTCTACATATACTGTCAGGTTAATGTGCTTAAACCAGTATCCTGCATGGAAATATCATGGACTTGGTGCTAATAAGATGTGGTTACATCAAGATGATGGATTCAATCACATCATATCAACATGCCAGTTCTTATAAAAGATGTAAATACAAATAAGAATTTATGCTATATACGATTTGTACAGAGAAGGAGGATAATATTAATATTATTACACTGCATATAAGCCTCATGCAGTGGATATTCTAGTACATAATCAGAGCTCTCATAAAGTTCACCATCAAGGGCGAAAGAAAATGTAAGGCCTAGACACTCATCATTACTCTATATAATTACTAACCAAAGTAACCTGCTTCTCCGGGGTTATTAGTTTGATATTTTAATGTCAACCGTGCGTGTGTCTGTGTGTTTTGAACGTATTTTAGATATTTTTATTTTTACATTTTTTTATTTATATATATCTGAACTATTACTGCAGAATCATCAATATTCTTCCACTTTTTTGTTTGCAGCCTTTTCCCAAGCTTTCAAGGTTTCAAAAGCAATAATATTAATTTTAACTTTTACATTCTATTTTTTCTTATTTTCGCTTTTTTTTTTCACTAATACAGATGGAAAATAATTTCAACTTTATTTTCTAATTTTTTGGCCTAACCAGCCCTGTGGCCAGCATTACTGAATTAAAAAAATAGAATGCAAAATTACATATTCAAATTTTGTAAAATAAATTATTTTCAGAATGTTCATGTACGATCTGAAGCTGACAGGTCGAGAATTGTATGAATGCGAGAAAAATACAACTCTATTTTCTTTTCAAAATTCTTTAACTGTTTCATTTGATGTCATTTCCCAAATTTTATTCATTTAAACCTTTTCTAGTATTCTGATGTTCTGTTCCACAGGCCATTGGAGGTCCTTATGCCTTTGACTCCCTCCGTGTCACTGGCTAAGAAATGTTTGGCCCCCATACTCTATTGAATTTTGTTCATTTTTGCTAAAGTATGTCCATTTTTTGGCAGCTTTTGACCATTTTGTTCTTTTTCAATAGTGTTTGGCAGAAAACCTTCGCATATTGTTCGTTCAGTAAGTGAAAATTAGAAAAAAATATTATACTTTTCTATAGACCTTCAGGAAGCCGAATTATGGGACTTAAGGTCTATAGGGCAAAAAATTGACCAACATTTTTTTAGTCAGATCTAAAAAACAATACTTGGGTGCACATCCTCAGAATCCCCTTAGTATGCTTGCAAGGTTTCAGGTCCCTCAACAAGAAGTCTAATTTTTACAAAACCTCAATTGAAAGTTGAAAAATAGTAAACAGCTGATTTTTACATACCGATGACTCACTAGATTCTTCAACAGTGATGGTATTGTAAGTAACATCAGCTTCATTAAACTTAATGACCCTGTCCTTTTCAATAATGGATTTTTCTGTATCTATTAAATATATTTTATCCTCTGCCCATATTAAGAACTTAGTATTTTTTACCTAAAAATAGAAAAAAAAACATTACAAATATCAATACAAGAAGTTCCACAAATAATGACATAATAATCTACCACATATGACATAATAAACTACCACATATATATATATATATATGTCATATTTCTATGTTGTTTTTTTCAGCACAAAAGCATTTTGGATAAGGTTATTTAAATTAATAACATTTTGATGCATTACAACATGGCTAAACTGTACAAGATTAGCTATTTCTTTCTTTGTATTGTGATGATTTCTGTTGGCAAACAGGTCTTTTTGGATTATTTGGTAAAAAATGTTAATGGAAAGTCCAACCTACTCAATGAACAAGTTTTATTTCAAAATGAAATTTTACACTTAGCATAACCAACATTTATGAACAGGTATAATTTCACAAATAAACTCAATGATTACAACAATGAACCAATTAACTTGCTGACAGTAACAGATAAACTGACTAATTCATGCACTGATTACTCAATGACTGACTCAACACTAAGTCCGAGGGCTTATAACACTAAAAATATTGTTTTGATACCCATGGTGGGCACAGTACGGGTAGTCCACTGTGCTTAATAATAAACAAACCAATAAAAAAAATTATGAGTAGTTATAGGCAAATACTTAGTCTTTCTATATTTCTATAATATAATTTAAAATTTTACTATTTAATTAAAGCAAAAAAAAACTAAAAATATTGTGCAAAATAAAAATTCACAAAATATTATTTACAAAATAATTAATATATATTATGTTCTCTAGGCCATAGACAAATTGACAAGTTTACCAACATTGTGATAAATGTTTTCTTTTTTAAATCACAATGTTATGGGAGTTTTCTAATGTAGTTTATAAAGTTGATAAATTTTACACTTGTTACATGCTTTGCATTTTGGTGTCATTCCTGAGAAGAAAATCAATCCCCAAAGTGAAAAACTTGTGTATGGCCTTAAATTTACAAAAATTACAAACATGAACATTTCAAACTGATGATTGGGCTAGTAAGCTCATTAAATTTTCAAATACAATTGCTATGTCAAGATACCTGTATAATAATTAAATTTCAACTCAAAGTTTAATCACTATGTGACCAAATACATACATTTCCAAACGTTCAAGAATTATAAACTCAATGTATCATAGAAGCTTTTTTGTAGTTTGCCTGTTATTCATAACTAAAACCAGTTGTTATTAACTGCAATTAGTAATGTAAAATTTTAGCAGCTCTTCTGGCAGAAGTTTTTAAATAAATGAGAATGCTGTATAGTCCATATAGTTTCAGCTATTAAAATAGGCACTGATGAGATTTCTAATTGATGAGATAACCATTCACTTTACATATTTATGAATTGGTTATATATTGAACTTGTTGTTTTTCAACAAGAACAAAAAAATAAAAAAAAGGAAAACCAACTAAGCACCAAGTTTTGAAATAAAGATGAGTCGGCTACATACAAAAATTGTCATTCCAATTTTAATAGCTATATAAAATTAGAAAAACATGCTTATTTACATTATCTACATAACATAAAAATATCTTTACACTACCACTTTAAATATTAAAAATCTGTTACAGCAATAACAAGAATATAAAATCATAAATTTGATTACAAGTTGCCAATTGCACGGTAATGAAAGATTGGCTGATGATATATTCAATGCTGAAACTTCACACAAATTTTAGGTCTTGCATTGCTCAAAAACTAAGCCCTCAAAAACGGAAAACAATAAAATCCTAAAGCAGTGAGTTTAGTAACAATTTAAACGTTTTAGCCTACATTAATGAAATGTCCTGGTTTACACTTTTCTCTCCCTTTCATTCCTTCAATCTGGAGTCCATTGAAAAGATTATTTAAAACTGAAAAAAAAGGAAATAATAAAATTAAAATGCTAATATAATGTAACAAACACAAAAAGTTGTAACACTTAAACGAACATCTTATCAAATATTTGCAATTAATAAAGCATCTTGATTTAGAGCTTACCTACATCTAGTTGAGTCATTGTTCACAAACGTTTAATTGTTACCTTAAGAACAAACATTCAGTTATTCAAACATAACTTATTGCATAATGACGGAGAATTCTTGAAGGCGATTTGATTATGAAAGACATCATTATAATATTTAGTTTTTCTTGTAAGTTCTGACATAAGAGACGACAATCTTATTTGCCCAATACTTTGAGTATTTTCAACGGCTATGCCCAGGTATTTTCAAATTTTAGTATTCTATCTAAAAAAAACATGTTTAATAAATATTCATTAATTATCAAAACCTATGTATAATGTTCTATGTAATAATTTCACATGAACTGTATGAGAAAAGTTGACTTTTCCAATGATATTCAAGTATAATAAAACTTGGAAATATATGAATTGTTGTTGTTGGGTGACAAAATTCAATTGAAGTTTTAGTAATAAGTTTTATTATAAAAATAATATATGAATAAGCTTAACCCAATAAAGGTAACAACAGAAAGTTTCAGAGATTTCAGTAAACAGTAAAACTTGGTGAACTGTCAAAAGGTTTACATGAATTGGTTCAGAATATAAAGTTTTTACAAAATAATCAGAAGTTTTAAGTATTTCTGTTGTGAGTACTAGAATGGCAAAGTGTAAATTATACAAGTCAAATTAAGAGATAATTCAAATAAATAAGAAATTGAAACAGAAGTTGCTTCAATAAAATGTATTACTTCTACTATGTTATGTGACTACTATTGACAGGGCTTAAGATATTACAAATAACAACAAAACTGTTCATTTACTCTGTGCTAATGTTTCTAATTTTTTAGATATTACAACACAATTTTGTAGAGTATAAAATTTATTTACAAGCATAGATGTTGAAACTTGAAACATCAGCTTTAGCTTAGAATCATTAAAAAATATTACTACATGATAAGATTACACATATAGCAGGATTTTTTAAAATACAAAGTGTATATAAATATACATGCAAAACAATCTACATTTTATTCATTTTTTACTAGTAATTATGTCCATTTTTAAACTCACCTGAAATTACTGCCGAATCATAGTTCTCAACTATCATCACAATACTGTTATCTAAGAGTAATGCCCCAGCTCCTTCCATAAATGCTAGATTTCTGAAAGTTTTGTTTTCTCCCACTTTCTTGAAAACAAAATTATTACTATTAAAAAAATCAGCTGGTAAAACTATTATTATTTCTTTACAATATTTGCTGAACTTAATGATTACTTGGAGAAATAAATTATTACCAATCTACAGTTAAATATATAAAGTTTAAAAGTAATTAATTCATACAATTTTTGAAGTTAAGCTTGTAATATTTACAAAACTGCTTTAAGAGATATCCACACATTAACGTTTTTGGCCCCCCAATGGCATGGCAGTATGTCTGCAGACTTACAGTGCTAGCAACTGGGTTTCGATATCTGTGGTGGGCAGAGCACAGATAGCCCATTGTGTAGCTTTACGCTTAACTACAAATAAACAATAATGTTTTTGTTACTACTAGATGTAAAATTACCAGTATCAAAATAGAGTGTACAAGATTCATTTATATAATCCTGTAATAAGGTTCTTTATTTTTGTTTTGACAAAGAAATTTGTACAAGTTGAAAATATACATTTTTTCCTATACATTAATAATAATGGCAGCAGAATTTAAAAAGGAAATTAAGCTTTTACATGTGAAGGGTACAGTGGCTAATAATGACTTTCACACAGAGTACTAATAGGGTTAATAGTAGTAGATTTAATTATAATGAGCAAGTTCTATTAAGTAACGAATTTCAGCTTTTAGTTTTTGCAGATAAGGAACTACAGGAGGGCAGAATAACAAAAGGGAAAGATAGGGATGGGAATGAAAACCATAGGAGATTCTTTAGTATTGCACTTAGATAGGATAGTATGTGGAGTAAATAGGGAGAAAAATAATTAGACTGTGCTATTCAGGGGCAGGGGTGAAAGATGTAATCAAAAGAGCAAGTAATATAGTAAAGTACCTAGCAGTGTTGTTATCTTTGAAGTACACATTCAGAGGAGCTTATTGTTAAAGTACAAGGCATTCAAAGAAGAGTTAAAATAACTTAACAGTATCCTTAGTGCACACAAGGGCTAATGAAGTAAGGAAAAGTAGATCAGAGGAGCTTGCTGTTAAATACAAGGCATTAAAAGAAAAGGGTCATAATAGCTTGGCTGTATCCTCGACAGGACTTACCTGTGGGTGAATGCTAGGATCAATTCAGCATGAAAAGGAGCTTTTTTTTGGAATAGATGGTTTATATGTAAATAGGATAAGGGTTGACTTGTTTGCAAGGGCTATTAACCCAACTCTAAGGGTAACTTTAAACTAGGATTGGACAGTTGAAAACAATGAAGAAAAAATAAGATGTAGAGAGGGGTATAGTGTGGGAGCAAGATACAAAGGTGGTTTTAATGATAGGCTAAATTGTTATTATTATAATGCTAGGAGTATAAGAAATAAAATGAATGATCTTAGAGCACCAGTCAGAACAGAGGATTTTGATATAATGTAAACCTGGCTAAATGCAGACAATTTTGATGACAGGAATTTCTTAGAAATACAAGGTTATAGGTTGTTTAATAAAGATAGAGTACTTACTTAGAAAATGGGGAGGAGTGGTGTTATATGTAAAATGTTAGTTACAGCTTGTTCAAATTGAGGATATCAAAGATAACTAGCAATGATGATAAATCTATTTGGGTTTCTGTTAGTGGTTATAAGGGGAGAAGGCTTTTAGTTGGAATTTTTTACAAACCACCATTTGAAACTGGTGAAATTAAAGAGAATCTCTACAATGAGATAAAGAATTCAACTATTCATGAGCTTATGGAAGATCTTAATTTTAGGCATATAGATTGGGAAATGTTAGAGTCAAATCATGAGAGAGACAAGTTTTTAGAAACTGTTCAGAATGGTTTTTCTTCAACATTTGGTGAGGAAACCTACTAGAAAAAATGCTATTTTAGATTTACTGGTTATCTATAATAATAAAAGGGCATATTTGTGGGCTTGTGTGTGTGACCGCCATAGCTCCAAGAGTAAAGAACATAGAAATCTGAAATTTTGCACCTATACTAAGTGGAACCTGAGGGTGTGCACTTGGGTATTATTACCTATCCACTTGTGTGCACATCTTTTTATGAGGCAATCTAGCAAAATACCACATATTTGACCTTCATAGTTCCAAGAGGAAAGAACCTAGCAACCTGAAATTTTGCACCCATACTAAGTAGACACTGAGGGTGTGCACCTGGGTATTATTATTTATCCACATGCGTACACGCATGCATATCTTTTTTTAATGAGGCAAGCTAGCAAAAAACCACACAGAAAAGAAGTGGTTCCTTATATTACAAATAGGAATCACAGACAGATATGCATGTGTGCATGCACATGTGTGACTGCCATAGCTCCAAGAAGAAAGAACCTAGAAACCTGAAATTTTGCACCCATACTAAGTGGATCCTGAGAGTGTGCACCTATTTCCACATGCGTGTGTGCATGTGCCTCTTTTCAATGAGGGAAGCTAGTGAAAATACCACATAGAAAAGAAGTGGTTCCTTATATTACAAATAGAAATCACATACGTACAGACACTCACATGCGCTCAGTTAGGTTTATGTCTTGATGCTTATAGAGATACGAAATAATGATATTGTGGTTCAAAATTTCAAAAACAAAATAAAATTTGAAGAGATGAGACAAGAATTATTTTCTGTGAAATGGGCAACTGAATTAGTTGGAGATACTGATCAAATGTGGAAATATGTGAAAAAGAAATTCTTAAATATTCAAGATAGGCATGTTCCTTGTAGAAAAAAAAAGGGTGGCTGCAAGTAAAACACCTGGTTGGCTCACAAAGCGTATAAAGGATAAAATTAAAAAACATTATAAATATAAGAAGTTAAAACTGACTGCAATGAAATAACGAACTATATGAAAAAAAGGTTGGCAGAAAGTGAACAAATTAATAGCAAGGATTTCTTCAAATACATTAATGGTAAGCAAAATGCTAGGATGGGAGTAGGGCCTTTGAGAGATGATACACGAAGGATATAATATCTGATGTTTGGTTATTAAATTCTGCTTTTTTTTCTGTTTTTACTAATGAAGATTTAAGCAATATTCCTCATTCTGAACAGTTGTTAGATGGAAGCTAGACTGAAAACGATGATCACATTAATTCTGAACTTATTAATATAAAATTTTAAATTTTAAAAAATGATAAAGCTCCTGGACCAGATAACATTTACCCAAGGGTTTTGAAAAGCATTAAGGATTAGATATGTGAGCCACTTGCTACTATTTTTTTATATGTCCTTTATAAGTGCTGGAAGATTGGAAGTTGCCTTGGCTAATGTTACTACTCTTTTTCTAGGAAAATGATAACAACTGTCTTAGTAGTTATATCTATTAGTCTTACAACAGCGATGGGAAAGTTTTTGAAATGCTGATAAAAGATGCTTTGCAAAGTCATTTAACAAAGTTTAAAATTTTGTTGGATAGTCAGAATGATTTCACTAGCAAAAAATCTTGCCTTACTAATCTTTGGATATTCTTTGGAGATGTTACTGGTTATCTGGATGAAGGTACAGGTGTGGATTTGGTGTTTTTGTATTTTAAAAAAACATTTGACAAAGTGCCACATAAAAGGCTTGTTAAAAAAGTTATTTCTGTAGATGTGGGGGATAAGCTTGCTAATTGGATATAAAAGTGACTGTATAGAAGAAAGCAGAGGGTTGTTATTAATAGAGTTTAGTCAAACTATTAATGTCATGAGCGTGGTACCTAAGGGCTCAATCTTAGGACCTTTGCTCTTTTTGATTTATACCAATGACATAGATGAAGGAGTAGTCAATAGATTATTTCAATTTGCTGATGACATTAAAGTTTTGGGTATTGCTGACTGTGAGGAGGATGTTACTCCTTTACAAAAGGATGTGGATTATATAGCGAGTTGGGCAAATAAATGGCAGATGACTTCTGATTATAATAAATGTAAGGTAATGCATGTGGGATATCCCAATATGAGTTATAAGTATAATGTTGATGGGAATAGCCTTAATAGTGTTGTGAAAGTTAACATTTTCATAATCTGAAAGAGTATTTCTGATAGATATTCAACTCTCACACAGAATGGCTTTGTTGCTCATATATCTGACTATGAGATTTGCATGTCACTAGCCTTGATCTAACTCAAACCAAAAATTCACACATTTAATGTGAAATGGCCTTAATGGATGATGACATCATTAGGTGACAATTGCTTTCCACCAATAGGAGGGCAAAATAACCTCCATGTGCAGTGATTTCCTTTAAGTACTTGCACTCAAAATAACTTCATTCTTAGAAAAGGCAAGAAAAGAATGCACCAGAAGTGGGGAGGTTGGGTTGGAATGTGTGGTATTTATTGTAAATACATTTTCAGATTAGGAAAAAATTTATCTTCCAAGATGATACCTCACCTCTACACACAGTATAGCTAGAATCCAATATATATATATATATACACACACAAACACACATATATCCTTCACCCAGAATGTAACGGGGAGAAGAGCAAATGATCCTCAAGTGTCACAGGGATGGGTGGAAGAACATGACCAACAACGAACTTGCACACAAATGGTCAGCAACCAACAAGTGCAGTGTGGTTAATACACGATCAGACTGTACAGAGTTTGCTCACCTCGACTCAAATGGACAGACTCAAGCTACAGGAAGGAGGCACACTAACTGTTTGAAGGGTGACCTGTACTACACAAGAGTGCCACCACCTCCCTTCTTCTTACCATACAGTGTGAAGTCCAATCAGTGAAAAACTTTTCAAGGTCCACACCAGCAGGTAGGAATTGGTAAGTGGCAAGGCTCTCCCATGCTTCACTTGAAGAAAGGGGGAGATCACATTGTGGAGAACTGAAGAAGGGCCTGGATCAGATGCCTAATAGAAAGGTCTTTTACTGAAGACAGTGCAATG